TTCAGTGCGAGCGTTCAAGGTCGAACGCCGCACATGACCCTGAATTGGCCGATATCAACGCTCTGCGCTATCGGGATGCCGCGATCGTTCGAGGTTGAACTGTCCCCGCGGTGCCAGAAGCCAACGCCCAGGTCGTCCCCGCACGAACCTGCCGTAGATAGATCCACGCCTCGCGGGAGGAGATCGGTGTCGGTATCTTCTTCTTGTACTGTTCCCCCCAGGACAGCGCCGCGGAGAAGGCCCGGCGCGAGGACTATGCGGGGGCGATCCAGGCCGGGGGTCCGTTCACCCCATTTCGGGGCAGGAGCCAAGCAAACAGCTGAGCTCGAAGAAGAATTACATAACCATGCGGCAGGTATGCGCCGCGTTAACGCGGCGGCTACCCCAGCGCGGGCGCTCAAGTTTAAACGCCACCAGGGGCCCAGAATCGGCTGATGTCGGGCGATCTGCGCAATCGGAGAGACGCAATCGAACGATCCGCGCGGCGTCAGAAACCAACGCCCGCGACATCGCGACGCAAGCCAGCCGTACATCCTCTGAGCTCTGCGCGGATTTCGTGGATCGGCGTTAAACATGATTTGGCGGCGCCTCCAGTGCCGCCCATGGCGCGCTCACGCTCGCCAGGGTTGGGGGGGGCCCATCGCCGACGCAGGAATATGCGCGGACCTCATACCGGACACAGCCAGCTAGTAAAACGGAGCCTGGTGTACCCTCGCAATTCTGTCTTTAGCGTCGCTTAGCGTCGTTTTGCGTCGATTTAGCGTCGATTGGTGTCGACTGAGCCGATTCGCGAGGGCCGACAAAATGGTATGGGAGGCTCCCGCGAATTGCCACCCAAGATGCCCATGAGTTGGACCGTTCCTGTACATCTGGAGGGCCTGCTCAGTTGTTCGTCTTGCCCCTGGCCTCTCCGGTGGGGCGTATACGGCAGGTTCGCGTCGTGTCGACCGGCGGCGACCCTGCTGCCGGCGTTCAAAGTTGAACGCCGGCGGCGGCCCAGAATCGGTTGATGTTGGACGATCGGACGGTGCGCAAGCGGCCGATCGTTCGAGGTTGAACGATCCCCGCGGTGTCAGGAACCAAGGCCGGGGTTGACACGACGCAGTCCTGCCGTGTACACGGCCCACGACGCCAGGCCTGCCTGCCTGTCCTCGCGGGCCCTGGGCCCGCGATCACGCTGCTGCAGGAGCTGTGCGCGTCGTGGGAGAAGGCGGTCCACCAGCAGCTGCAGGTCTCAGGAGGGGAAGCAACACACAGACACAGTCAATCGTCGATCCCCAGGAAAACACGGGAAAAGATGGGCAGTGGGGGGGGAGACGAAAATCTGGAAAATGTGCAAAGGTATGGGGAATCTTGGGATTTGTGAGTATTTCTTGTGTGGGTGCACGGTGTACGGTGACGCCGCTTCTGTCTTCGAAGAGGGCTCAACAAGTTTTTCGGAAGGCGCGAGGGCTTCAAAGAAGGCTTGCCCCCTCTCAATTCCCGGTTGGGCTCGCCGCCGAGTTCAGCATCGTCTAGCATATCTTTGTCCCCACTGCGCCATGGCATCTTGGAGCTGGGTGGAGGGCCGAGGTGGTCCAGCACTCATTGCGGGCATCAGAAACAGGGAAGAAAGGGGGCCTTCCTCGTCGCCACGACTGGACGCGACTCGACGAACAGGTCAGTTTCGACTCTGGGAGGGGTTTGGGAACTGATTTGGGGCGAATTCGCACTCACCCCATCCCCTCCCTCCAGACAAATTGCTTCTGGGTTTATCCAGCTCAAACCCTCCGGCCGCCTCCAAGTGGCATCTCACGCTCCTAGTTGGCGATAGGCCCCGCGAAACCGACGACGACGACGACGACGACGACGACGACGACGACGGCACCGCAGCACCACCCCATGCCCTCAGGGAGGGGGCGGGGGCACATGCACCCCCCTCCACCACACCACTCCCACAGGGCCACGACCACCGGGGGAGGGGGGGGCGATCCCATTCGCGAGGCCTCCGCGAGGCTCACGGGCGTACCCATCCAACACGTGCGTGGGTGGGCGATCCCAATATCATTGGGGGGCGGAGCTCTGGACTAATTGTATATCTCCACCTGCTGTTAGCCCCGGGATTATCTGTTGCACGTATGAAGCTTATAGGACGTTCGTTAGGATCCCGTGGGAGGCTTCTCGGAGGCCTCATGGAGGCAGCTTGGACGCCTCTTGGATGCCTCTTGGATGCCTCTTGGGAGCCTCTGGGGGCCTCCTGGTCGCCTCTTGGGGCCTCCTGGGGGCTTCTTGGGGCGGAACACTTGGATTTTCAGTGTATGCGCCCTCTTTGAGGCCTCTTGGGCCGTCTTGGGGCGGTTTCGGGGGCCTCTTGGGCCGTCTGCGAGCGTCGGAAAGCCGAGAAGGCGAGAACGCCCAAATCGGTAAAAAACCCATGGAGAAGCAACGGTGGTGTTTGCCTCTCGGGACTCCTGGGCCGCCTCTTGGGGCTCTCTTGGGCCATCTTGGCGGCCTCCTGGGCCGTCTTGAGGGTATCGAGGGCGTTGTGGGCCGATCTTCCGGCGTCTCGGGATCCTCTCTTGGGACCGTCTGGAAGGTCTCTCGGGGCTCTCTCCTGGCCCCGTCTTGGAGCCCTCGCGGGCCCGAACACGTCGCGCGACAGGCCGCGGGAGGCCCCCAGAGGGGGCACGCGCCAAGCCCCCGGAGAGTTGGCCATTGTGGGCTCCGGGGCCCTCACATCCAAAGGGGGGGTGGGGTCCTCCTCTTCCTCCTCCTCCTCCTCCTCCTCCTCCTCCTCCTCCTCCTCCTCCTCTTCTGGCTGGTAGGTCTGAGGGCCTTGCGCTGCGCTCGCGAGCTGAAGGCACTGCGCAGGGTGATTGCCCCCGGCTCCCGGCCCAGCTCCAGGGCTGGAGCCCCGCTGGCGGCTCTGCTCGCCACGCAGAGGCGTTTCGTCATAGTGCCCCCCATGGTGCATTGGGTAGTTCGAGAGACTCCACGCTTTCGCAGCGGGGGCGGCAGGGTCGGGGCTGAGGACCGAGGCTCTGGGGGCGAGGCAGAGAGGCCCGAGGACACGCCCACTTCGTGCCCAGCGCCAAGGTGGCGGAGAAAGGGAGGGCTCCCCCACCATCCTCCTCTCAGAGGGGGGGGCAGTACTCCAGGCGCCGGGAAGACCAGTTGTTCATCCCATCGGTATTGTGACCCCGAGCTGGCGTTTCAGTTTTGGCTGCCTGCTATGATTCGCGTGATGTCGAGGGACGCGGCTCTGGCGATCTTGCTGGCCCGGAAGTTATTCGAATCTGCCCGAAAGGTCATGGTTCGTAGTGTTTTGGACTCACATCAGGTGGGTAAGTCGGCCATTTAGGCCAAGGCTCGGGCCGGACGAAAGGGGGGGATAGGGAAAGGGGGGGGTACGAATTTTGCTGTATGCCGCTGGTTTCGGCCCCACCGAGGGGCCCATTCCTCGACACATGGCCGCCTCCGGCGCCGGGAGGCGCCGGGAAAATCAACTACGTGAGCTGATTATTAAACCCTTCCTTTGCTATCCCCCCCTTTCGCCCAGCCCGAGAGGCCAAGGCCACGCCAGTCAGATAGGGATCGTTTGAGGGATGCTCAGGTCACCGGAGAAGAAAGATCCACAGCCACCAGCTGGGGGTGTTGGGGTGGCTTGTGGGAAGGATCGGGTTATGATGTTCCAACCTACTTTAGCCTTGTTCACCATAGATAATTCCGAGCACCAGCACTAATACCGAAACTCGAGGGTGTTCACGTGTCTGGCCCTGGGAGACTCGTCCGACACTTTCGGCACTTTTCCGGGTGCTCGAAATTATTTCTGGGATGTGGTCCTCAAGTACGATGGGAGCAACACAACTTGTGGGAAGGATGCTCTGTGGCGTTCTGGTGATGTTCTGTGGCGCTCTGGTGATCAGGTGTACATCAACCAGCTGGAGGCGCTGGAGGAGCGGTGCAGCGGCGAGGCTGCGAGCGCCGAGCGGGGGAGGCCGCGCCCGCGCCGGGCAGGGAGGGCACTTGTCTGCTTGCCCCCCGCGCGCGCGGAGCCTGCCACGCGCTGCGCATTGTGCAGCCAGCGCCCTCGGCGTGCGACGGCTATACAGCTAACCCGCAGAGTAATGCGGGGCGATGTTCCCAAGGGTACCCCTGCATCCTTGCCTCCTCGGCCCACCCCTGGCCAGTTTTGCTAGCCAACCTCATCCGAAACACGCCAACGTAGCCCTCCGAGGCCCTTGCATCCTTACCGCGCATCCTCACTATACGGTTTGACTGTATATTGCATCTTTTGGGGACCTCGTCTGTCTCATCGCGCCAGCCATCCGTGCCGCAGCCATGTCGGATCCATGTGTCGAATCCACGTCGAAACAGTGCCGAGTCCACGTCGAAGTCGCTCCGAAGCCGCGTCGACGCCACGTCGGAGTAGTTACAAGAGATGATTGCTCACATGACAGGACAGGGCCCCCGAAGGTGCAAAGTAGCGACGGCACCACAAATCAAGGACGGAAAAAAACACCACGACCCCCATACATGCAGTTTACGAAGCAGCCCTGGGCGTTTACTAAACAGCCTTGCCCTGCTCGACCCATTCCTTCGGTACGTTTGCTAAACTGATTCGCTTGTCGGTGTTTCTGCACTCCTGCGAATGACGACAGAGCATATACTGTGATCCGCAATGAGGGTCATCAAGGACGCAGTGCCTCTTGGCATCGCTCGGACGTGCCCATGAAATCAGCCAGGACAATTGAATAGCATGTTGGGCCGTCTTGCAAAGAACAATGCCCGCAGGAAGCCGAACAAATGCACGGGGAATGGACGTCCGAGCGATGGCGAGGCTTTCTCAAGGCTGACCCTATCTTCTTTCAGGAGGGGAAGAAACACAGACACAATTCATCGTCAACTCCCAGGAAGATCTAGGAAACTGTTGGTCGGAGGGGGCAAGACGAAAACCAAGAAAATATGGGAAAGTGTGGGGAACCCTGGGATTTGTGTGTATCTATTTGTGTGTGTCCCTTGTCCCTTTTGCCCCTGGCTTCCTGCCCGGCCTCCCTCTCCTTGCCGTGGCCAGAAGACAGCCCCAACGCCAGCGTCTACACGGTCACCGGGCTGCCGACCACCGCCCACCAAACCAGGGTTCATGTCGATCCTTCCGATTCGATTCGATTCGATTTCGGTAGTTTCCGATTCCGATTCGATTCGACTTCGGATTCCGATTTGGTCCCAGATGTTTCAAAGGAGACCTACTAAACTGCCGATTTCTGCCGATTCGACTTCTCCCAACTCGGCTGCCGATTCCCGCCGATCCGATTCATTTCTGTAGCCGATCCGATTTGTCGATTCGATGCTGGGCTCTCCTGCCCAACCCGCAGGCCCCGATGTGCTCTCCAGTCCCAATGGGGGAGGGGGGGACGTCGGGGAACATTGACAAAACACACGCGGAAAGCCCGACCCCCCCCCAAAAAAAAAAAAAAATTTGGGCCCTTGGGTCGGGCTGTCGTGAGTTTGGTAGGCAGTCATCCGAGGGCTCGGCAGCCTCACGCTGGGGCGTTCCAGAGGGTCGCCTTTCGCTGGGGGATGACCTTGAGTGCGGGCCCAGTGGTGTCCCCCGATGGCGGAACGCGATGTGATAGCAGCGGCTTGCGCGCTTGGTCCCCTCCCCCGCGCCCCCATGAATCTGCCCCCCAAAGGTCGCCAGGTTCGGTCGCAAATCATGGTAGCCGGGTACAGCCTCTTCATTCTGCCTTGAAGCGTCGATTAGTGTTGGTTAGCGTCTGGGAGGCGAAGAGCTGGCGCCGATTTGGCATCGGCTAGCCTCGATTTAGCGTCGATGAGCGTCAATTTAGCGTCGACCAGCGTCGATTCGCAAGAGCCGACAAGATGGTATGGGAGGCTACCATGGGTTGCCACCGAAATCGGGGCTCAGGAGGCGGGGGTCGATGCAAACGGGGGGCAGCCAGAGCGCTCGATTCTGCAGGATCCTGCATGACCAGGGGTACACTGACCCGGGCTTGGGTGCAGGATCCTGCAAGATCCTGCGCAGCCTGATTGACCCGGGTTTGGATTGACCTGGGCCAGTGCTTCCCCGAGGTCGGTCGCTCTTGCCCAGGTTGCCTCCTGCGTGCAGCCGAGACACGGGCAGCGCAGATCAATTCGGGTCGGCCGCGCGGGCGTCCTCGGGCAGGTGCTTGGTATCGCTCGGCCGTGTGCATGTTTTCCTCCGGCGAGGACCATCGAGGAGCATCCTTGATAATTTGGCGAAAAATCCACGCACGAAACCGAAAAAAACACAGGGAATGGACGTCCGAGCGATAGCCGCGTCCCGCGCAAGGTCGTGCGTAAAGGCGCCCCGCCTTTTCCACGGCCCTGCGGCGTTGCCAGGCCGCGCAGAAGTCTTCTCGCGAGGTCGCCGCGCCCTCTTGCGCGAGGCCCCATCGCTCTCGTCGCTCACGCTGAGACCTCGCTCTCGTGGCTAATTCATTGCAGGCGAAGGTCACAGGAGGGAAAGGTGCTACCGCCGCTGCTCGTCCTGGAGAGCCCTCGTCGCCACGGTTGGATCATCCTCGGAATCCTGGTCAGAACGCATTCCAGGAGAGGTCCCAGGAGTAGTAGCCTCGGCATTTTGTAGAAGAAGGAGCAACAGCCGCGCCAGCTGGCAGGCGTGAGGCGAGATGTGTTGGGGACGGAGCTGTTGTTTCTGGTAGAATTGCTGCGGATTCTCGACCGCCGTTGCCGCGCGCCCAAGACTGGTCCAAGACGGCCGCGACACCCCCCTCGGACAGCCAGAACTTCGCTCGAGAAGGATGCGTGACACAGGGGGATCGTGATGAGCGGGGATAGGGGTCGGGAGAGGGATACTGACATGGATCGCGTTGGCAAGCGCAAGCAAGCAGGCATGCGCTGACAAGCGCACTTCAGCAATCACACGGTGTGAGTGCTGAAGTGCGCTTGTCAGCGCGGGACAAAAAGACATCGCAGAAAACAAACATACGACCGTCATGAACAGTTCGTGACTCACGGGGGTCTGGGTTTGCTGGATTGGCGGCGGGTTTGCCGTCGGCGAGTGGGCGTCGACGAAAAGGGGCTCGGCCGATGCGCACGCCGCCCCTCTTCGTCTAGGAGATGCGCGCTGGAATGCTAACAGCCCGTTAGCCGTCGACTGTTCGCTTGCAGTCCGACAGGACCGCAGTCGTTTTTGTTGAGAACGTTTCTGGTTACATGCAGCCGAATCCCCCAAATACTATTTTAGTGCTTTTCTGTCCGGCCGCGGGCAACAGGGGCGGGCGCGCCCCGCGCGAATCTGACCCAAGTTAACGCTCTTGTTGGAACAGGAATAGAGTCCAGAAAAGTTTCCACATCACACCATTGCTTGGGATTGTCACCCATGCATTGCCGTATGCGCGAGAGTTTGTCGACCACACTTGCAGGAAGATGCAATTTGTTCGTCTTATTTTGTCATGGGATCTTTCTTGAACAGATGTCCACGCATAATGCTTGCTCTCCAACAGCAGCGATGGATCCGAAGATTTCAAACGCAGGAAGTGGTTGTCTCGGCGACGTTTGCAGTCGTGTTGCGTTCCCGCATCTTGGCAGCTTAGAGTGAGTACATGACGGTGGGACGAGCCACATGTGTTAGACGAAGGTTCGATGGGGACAACACCGTATCAGCTGGAGCGCAGGGCATTTTGACGGCGTAGCAGGTGGTCGCGTTTTTTTGGGACGCTTGATTTGTTGGTTCACGATGATTGTGGTACGCGCTGCGGTGCTTGGAACGATTGCATGTTGCCCTCCATTGTGACGAGGCAAGACTTAGAGTGGCGCGTGCTGAAGTCGGACAGTGAGTTGAGGTCCGCTCCGCTGCGTTTCATGTTGTTTGGTCTGTTTGTGTACTGTCCCAGCATCAAGTATGTGTGTGTCTGTGTCTTCATTATTTGTCGTTTCCGCAGGGGGCGGTTGGCCTACTCTATGCCTCCTCCTTCCTAGAGCCATGCCATCCTCCTCGTTGCCATTATATTCGTTGGAATCGGCGGACTCCAACGCGCGCGCTCGACTTCCCGCACACCAGGTCCAGAACGATGAATCTCTCTACGCACATTGTTGTCTCAGCCATGGGGGGCACATGGATCACATGGATACCAATATGATCCTGCCTCTCCCCTGGCTCCTACTGGCGTGCATTCTGACACTGGTTCCAAGGCGAATCCAGCCCTTGCGATACGGGCCCCCTTGGGAGGCCCAAGAGGGCGAAAACGAGGGAAGGGCATCGGGCATCGGCATCGGTGTTTCGGAAGCTCGAAGGCCAAGCTTGTGGTGGGCCCCCTGTCAGTGACGCAGCGAGCGCGCCTGCGCCCTCACAGAGAGAGCCGCCTGGCAGCACGGGGGAAGGCATCGGCCCGCGCATCGGGCTGGCGCGGACCGAGCGTGCGCGGTTGCTCGTTATAACGCAACGGGTCAGGGGCAACGTGTGGGGGCAACAAGCTTGAGAGGGAACGCGTTGACCCCCAAATGCCCGTCTACCGCGGATAGGGGCCCGATAGCCCGCCCCGCCCAGGAACGTGCGGACTTCTGGTGGACGATCGCCGATCTATCGGAGAGGTATCGCCGATTCCGGCTGGGTTTCCCCACCCCCTTGAGCCAGTCCCTAAAGGGTCCTGGAGGATTCAAAAGGGTCCTGGAGGAAGAGGGCTCGGAGGCTGCCAGAAAGGCTCGTGGCCCCCCCCCAGCCCGACCCGAGGCCCCACGTCTGGACCTGAGGCGCCACAGCAATTTTCGAAGTCACCCTTCTCTTTGTATCGCTCGGACGTGTGCACTTTTTCTCGGCGGGGATTCTCAAGGAGCATCCTGGATCATCCTGCGAAAAACCACGCACGAAATCAAACAGGGAATGGACGTCCGAGCGACGGGCAGGAGGCGCCCCAGCAACTTTCGAAGTCACCCTTCTCGAGCCAGACCTCCTCGCCGTCCCCCAGCGGCTCCTGGAGGCGTTTTGGGCAGCTGTCGGGCGCCAGTGGCCCTGCCCAGGCCGCCACGGCCGCCACCCGGGCGGCTCGGGGTGGAAGGCGGGCGGCCCCAGTGCCGGCCCGAGGAGAGGCCAGGCGGGCCTGCAGAAGCCTGAGCTCTCGTGGTTGTGCACGGGCGGTCTCTCTCCAGTCAAACAGTGTCGAAGCGCCCTGGCTCGCCTAGTAGCCCTACCAAACAATGTTCTAAGGACCTTTTGTGGCCTGCGCGAAATGTTAGAACATTTCTGGCGGGGGCTGCCTTGCTTATCACATATGGCTCATGCTCTAAGAACACTGTTTTGTTCTTAGAATATTTGTGGGTTCTAAGAACACTTCGTGGTAGGACTATAGGAATGCCAGGACGGTCGGTCCCTGCTCAACAGGGGGGGGGACGGGGTCGAGGCCCCTGTGGCCCGCGGATTGAGCACTGCCACGCCGTCCGATGTCCGGGAGGATTGGAGGAGGGAACGCTGCAGCACCTCCTCCAGCGAGAGTCCCATGCATTGACCGAGATGGCTCTAGATTAGGCCCGCGCGCATGCCTCGTGCTGGCGCTGCCCCCTCCTCCGGCGGGTTGTGCTCAGTGTGCCTTCCTGTTGCTCGGGCCGGACGGAAGGGGGGGGATTGGGGGAAGGGGGGGGGTACGAAATTTGCTGCATGCTGCTGGTTTCGGCCCCGCCGCCCGGCCCATTCCTCGATACATGGGCGCCGGCAGGCGCTGGGAAAATCAGCTACGTGAGCTGATTCTCAAACCCCCCCTTTGCTATCCCCCCCTTTCGCCTGGCCCGAGTTGCTTGTCCAGGGAAGGAGTCCGGAGTGTCGAAGTGGGGACAGGAACAGCCTCTCCGCAAGGCAGGCGAGTGCGAGCGTCAAGTTGGGCCTGTCCCTCGACAGGGGGAATATTCAAAAATAGTCCAAACATTGTCAGGGGCCCATTTGTTGAGCATTTGGGGGGTATTTTAATTTTTCGCCCAAAATCCCCCCTGTAGAGGAACATGCCCGACCTAATGCAAGCGGCAAGCTGCAACGCCTGGTGGGAGGCCTCGGGAGCCACCTCGGGCCCGACGTGCCGAGTCGCAGAAGGTGGGCAAGATCGGGTCGTCGGAGCCTAATGGGGGTCAGCCAGGGCACCGGATCCTGCAGGATCCTGCGAAGACACCCTTTGGTTGACCCGGGTTAGCGAGCCGCTCGTGGCCGCGAGGCGGCCACATATATTGGCTGACCCGGGCTTGCGAAGACCTGCGTTGCAGTTTTTTTCCTGCTGACCCGGGTGGTCTGGCCTGGGTCAGAATATCCCCCAGGTCGTCCAGGACGGCAGTCTTCCTGTGACGCGTGGGCCAGTCTCTGCCGCGAGGCCTGCTGCTGTGGAAATGAACGTCTCACGGCTTCCACGGTGAGGGCCTCGAAAACCGGCAGGGGCTCCTTCCAGTTCGGAGCAAGTTTCGCTCGGTGCGGTTCCCGCTACCGGCGTCGTCCTCGCTCGTGCGAGAGCCGGCTGCCCGCCAGCGGGTGTTGCCGGTCTGGGAACAACACGTGGTGCTGGGCAGCGCCGCCATTTTTCAAGCAGTGGCGAAGCGTCTTGGCTCGCCTATAGGCCCACCAAATATTGTTCCAAGAACCGTGTGTGGTTTGCACGCATTTCTGGCTGAGGCCGCCTTGTTGTTACATTTCCTGTTCAAGATCTACGAACGTTGTTTTCGTGTTTAGAACATGTCTGGGTTCTGGGAAGATTTCGTAGTAGGCCTACCTATAGGAATTCCGGGACGGTCGGTCCATGCTCAAATTTTTCCGAGGAGTGGAGGGCCTTGACCATTACCGTTACAATATTGTTTCATTTCCCCCCGTGACGTCCGTTGCGGGAGGGAAGGAGGGGTCGGATTTGCGAGTGCTTCAGCATGCTTGTGAGTGCCAAAGCATGCCTGTCAGCACCACAGCATGCCTGTGAGCACCGGGCCCTCCCTGTGGGGGAGCTGGCCCCTCCTCGCTCACGTTCGGCACCGTTGGGACGGGGGAGGCGACCCCCCGCAGCGGAAATTACGGGTTCACCAGAGACAGAACAATCTATATCCATCTTTCGTTTTCGCCTTGTTGGGCCGCTTGAGAGGCCCTCGTCGCCACGGCTGGATCCGCTTCAAGATCATGGTCAGAACGGAACCCAGGAGAGGTTTGGTGAGTAATGGTATCGATACTTTTCGGTTTCCCCGCTTTTTCTTATCCCCATCTTCAGGCATCCGCGAAGGGGTGGCGCGAGTGGGGGCGCTGCCTTCTTACAAGGCAGGGGGGTGCTGCCTCGAAGGCAGGGGCCTGCTCAGGAGGGCCTAGAGGCGTCTGCAAAATGGCCCCTTGAGGGCCGCCATGCCTTTCCGAGAAGGCTCCCCCGCCTTCTCAGACCCCCCCTGTTTTTTCTCTTGGAAGGCCGCCCCCCTGGCGCCACCCCCGCTGAAGCGCGCAGCCAATCTTCAGGCGTCCAGAAGGCAAGGGGGGAAGGAGAGCGGACGCATCGATGGCCTGTCGCATGTTGGGCAGGCGCCAGGCGACGGCGAGTCGCGCGGGCGTTGCGCGTTGCGCGGGAGTCGGCGGGGAGTCTCTCGGCAGCGGGCATTGGCGAGGCATCGGGATATTGCGACCCCATGTGCTCGGACCCCAGTTGGGAGGCCCTGTAGGAGCTGCAGAGTGCCCGATTCGCGCGCCTGGCGGGGACAGCGCGCGAAGGCAGCTGGTGGAGCGTGGCTCAGGCTGACGAGGGGTGGAGGTGGAGGGAGGAGGAGGGAAGAGGGAGGAGGGAGGAGGGAGGAGGAGGGAGGAGGGAGGAGGAGGAAGGAGGAGGGAGGAGGATGGAGGAGGGAGGAGGAGGGGAGGGAGGGAGGGAGGGAGAAGCCACCCCTCCCCGCAGGTCCTGCATGGAGGAGCTCAGGATGGAGAAGGGCTGCTCGGAGGAGTGGCGCAGGCAGGCCGAGGCGCCCCCGCGCCCCCCGCCGTCGTGCTCGCTCGCTGCCCTGTGAGGACGGGTCCGGGAGAGGGGGGGGAAGGCTGGGCGAGGAGGGGGCGGCCCTCCACCCTCGGCGGGGAGGAGCGACGGGGGGGGGGGGGTCGAGCGAGGAGGAGAGGGCCTTCTCAGAAGGCGGCGGGGCTCCTCGGAGGCCCTCGCGCCTTCGGAGAGGTGTCTGCAAGTCCGGGGGACCTCCGAGCCTCCTGAGAAGGCCCGCCCCTTCTCTCGCACCCCCCCCCCATGGCGCGCCGCCCACTCTCGGGTGTGGCTGGAAGTGCCCCCGGCCCAAGGTGCCCCCCCCCCCAAGGTTTCCAAGGAGGCCCCCACGGCCCCTCATGAGGCCCAGGAGGCCCGCGGGGCTCCGACATGGAGCGAAGAGCTGGGGGCACCTTGGGCAAGGGGCACCTTTACCAACCTCCGATTCTCAGAAGGCTCTGAAGACCCCCAGCCTTCTGAAGAGTGTCCTAAGGCTTCCCCGGAGACGCCGAAAGCCTTTCAGAAGCCCTCCCCGAAGGGCTTCTGAGAAGCCCGTCTGAGAAGCCCCGCCGCCTTCTGAGAAGCCCTTCTGAGCCTTCCCCGAAGGGCTTCTGAGAAGCCAAGACGCCTTCTGGGAAGGCCTTCTTCTTCTCTTTCTCCCCCCCCTTCGCTCGCCGCCAAGAGGTTCGAGGATGAAGGCTCTTGTTGTTTTTGTTGGCCCCTCGTGGGCCTCCAGAGGCCCACGCAGATCTCAGAGGGCGTCTGGAGACAGTCGCGGTCGTCCGTCGTCGTGCCTCCTTCTCTGTTCTCTCCTCCTCCTCCTCCTCATGCGCCTTCCTCGTCTTCTACTGCGCCGTCCTCCCTCTCCTCCCTTTTCCTCCTCATCTTCATCCTCCTCCTCGCTTGCCGCCTGGTCCCTCCTCCTCCTCCTCCTCCTCCTCCTCCTCCTCCTCCTCTTTACTATGCACTGCGCCTCCTCCCCCTCCCCTCCTCCACTCCTTCCCCGAGCCGTCATGGCGCCCCTTTTGACTCAGCTCCACTGTTCAGCTCTGGAGCTCCGTGTCACCCCCCAGAGGACTCGCCCACCTCTGGGGGTGCACGTGGGCTGCATTCGCGTGCATGTTAAAACAAGATCCACCCTCCTGCCCCTGCGCAGTAACCGTGGCAGGTCCCTGACTGCCAGCAGAGTCGCTCACTCAGAGGTGGGCCCGTCCAGGCCTCCTCGGCCGAGGCCCGGGGCTCGAGGCCTCTCGACGACGGCTCCAGGCCTCTTCTCTGGACCTCCGGGAGGTCCGAGGTGGGCTTGTCGAGGCCATCTCAGCGATCGGGGGTCGGGGGTCGAGGTTTCTTCACATCTCCAGGCTCCTTCTCTGGGCCGCCTGGATGGTGGGCTTCCTTTCCACCACCACCACCACCATGAGGAGGAGGGGAAGGGGGTCCTCCTCCTCCTCCTCCTCCTCCTCCTCCTCCTCCTCCTCCTCCTCCTCCTCTTCCTCCTCCTCCTCCTCCTCCTCCTCCACCACTTCCTTCCCCCCTCCAACTTATGGTGGCGATGGTGGTTGAAAATAGGCCCATCACTGGAGGTGCCCTCATCACCGCGGCCAGACTCGCCCGGCAATACTGGCCCAAGTGCGTGCCAGGTCCCAGGACAGGTCTGGGGGGGCGCCGGTCGCCGTCGAGGATCGATGATCAAGGAGGGAGGAGTGAGGAGAAGGAGGGAGGAGGAGGAGGAGGAGGAGGAGGAGGAGGACGAGGCGCCTTTTCGACGCTGCGCCAACTCGACCCGATGTGATGCAGCGTTCTGTGGGGCGAGACAGAAATGCTGGCCGACTCGGCCCTAGCGCGACGGATGAAGCGTGTGGACGACTGTTTGTTGATGTGTGTGTATTTTTGGATATGTTTGGACTATGTTTCATCTGTCTTTCAAAATCCGCCTGTCGGAGGACATGCCCGACCTAACAGTAGGACCTTCAGTCCTCCTTGTCGTGCTCCTGCTCCTGCTCCTCCTCGGCCTCTTCCCTATCCTCATGCCAGGCGTATGCCTGCTCTGCCTCATCCTTGGTATCATCACTGCGTTCCTCTTGGTTTGATTATCCGCAACCTTCTCGTCAACCTTTTCCTTAACCTCCTCCTCCTCGGGTTGCCGACCTGTAGGACGACCTGCGGAAGACATCTGCTCCTCCTTCTCCTGCCCGATCCGTGGTCAGATTGGCTCCAGCCGTTGGTTGAGTCCTCGCTGGGCTTTAGCCGTATCCGCGTCACGAACAGTATCCACATACATGTTCGTTGGTTCCTACCTCAGCGAACGGTGATTTAAAGAACGGGCCGTGTTAGCACACTTGGATATGTCATTGCCCCAAGAAAGTGAATCGAGCCCATGAGATTGCGGGACTGCTCAGTTGGGGGCGGAAGTTGTCGCCCACTAGATCGGCGGGAGAGCTGCAGGGAGTTTGCCTCCGACGAGGAAGGGCCGATCCACGGAGCTCGAGGCAGAGAAGCACCCGGGCCAAGCGAGGACGTCCGCGGCAGTTGTGGCACACATGGCCTCGCAATGTCCTTGCCGCTGTCTTCGTCCAAGCTGCTCGGGCCGAACGAAGAGCATTGTTTCGCTCTAGCCCTGATCTGGACGACGTCTGGGCGAAAGGGTGGAGAGGGATGGCCCGCATCTGTACAGTCGAGGCCCATGCCAAGAGGCACCCTGCTTGCCTCCAGGGTGCCCTGGGTTTCCTGGGTTTCGATGGCTCTGCTGTGGGAAGCGTGACGTTCCCACACCAAAAGTCGATGGACGTCCTGGGGTCGCAGGGTTGGGCTTCTTGTGGTCGTCGATGTGTGCAGTCGACGACGACGAGACTCCGACCGCGCTGGCGACGAGGGCGACGGCGCCAGCGACGAGCGGCGACGAGACGAGGACGAGCGGCGAGCGGCGACGAGGACAAGGACGAGGACGAGGACGAGGACGCCCTGAGGTCGCAGGGTCGGGTTTCTTGTGGCAGGGTTCTTGTGGTCGGGCCCCTGCTGCACGACATCCAGTGGGCATCCCGTTTGTGGTAGGGCCGCGGCGGCCCTTCGCTGGCTCCCATGGAGGGTGGCCCAGCAGCCTTTGCACGCGGCATGGGCTCCTCTCGGGAAGTCCGCCCGCCCTCTTGGAGGAGGAGGAGGAGGAGGGCGAGGAGGAGGACGAGGAGGACGAGGAGGAGGAGGAGGAGGAGGAGGACGAGGAGGAGGAGGGCGAGGAGGAGGACGAGGAGGAAGAAAGGAGGACGGGGAGGAAGGAGGAATCAGGAGGAAGGGGGAAGGAGGAAGGAGCAGGAGGAGGAGGAGCAGGAGGAGGAGCAGGAAGAGGGCGAGGAGGAGGGCGAGAAGGGGGACGAGGAGGAAGGAAGGAGGAGGAGGATGAAGAGGAGAAGGAGGAGGAGGGGGAGGAGGAGGAGGAGGAGGAGGAGGAGGAGGAGGAGGAGGAGGAGGAGGAGGAAGAGGAGGCGGAGGAGGAGGAACGGAGACGGGTCGAGGAGAAAGGGGAGGTGGGGAGAAGGAGGAAAGGAGATGGGTGGAGGAGAGGCGGTGCAGGAGGGGAGGTGCAGGATGGAGCGGCGGAGGAGGAGAGGCAGCGGAGGCGTTGTGCTCCTGCCTCCGCCCCCGCAGGAGCACAAACGCGAGCTCGTACACTGGCGCCGGCGGGCGGAGGAGCGCCTCGCCTCTGCGGCCCCTTCGGTTCGCGCGGCTCGCACGGCACGCCGGCGAGGGCGGAGGAGGCGGGAGTCGTGATGGGCCAACGTTTCACAATCAGAGCCCCGAATCATCAGGGGTGATTCGGGTCAGGGATAATTCGGGTTCCTTTTTCGGGAATCCATGCCCGAGTTACCCCGGACCCGAGTTACCCCGGATAACTCGGGCGTCCAGAGCCCCGAATCATCAGGGGTAACTCGGGTCAGGGCTAACTCGGGTTCCTTTTTCGGGTATCCAAGCGCGAGTTACCCCGGACCCGAGTTACCCCGGATAACTCGGGCGCCCAACACAACTGCTACAATGGGTATAGAGGACCGGAGGTGAGGGAGGAGGGAGATCTCCCCCTCCTCCTCGTCCTCCTCCTCGTCCTCCTCCTCCTCCTCCTCCTCCTCCTCCTCCTCCTCCTCCTCCTCCTCCTCCCTCTCTTACCTATGGGAGTGGTGAAAAATCGACCCATCAAGTCGAGAGCCTCGAGACAGGGGTCAATGCAATCGGGGGTCAGCCAGAGCGAGAGATTTTGCTGGATCCTGCAGAGCTAAGGGTGCACTGTCCCGGGCCTGCGCGCATGATCCTGCAGGATTCTGCGTGTTCCTGCGGAGCACGACTGACCGGGTGTGCATTGACCCGGGTCGGCAGATCCCCGAGGGAGGAGGAGCAGGAGACCCCCCCCCCATCCCGAAACAATTCGGAACGATCGAAACAGGTACGGAAAACATGGGCACAAAGACCGACAGCATCTCGTGCCCATTTTGAGCAGGACTCGCTGTTGGTGTCGCTGCAGTTGTTGTCCATTTGAGACCGAAGGCCCCCTGCCCAAAAGACCCCGCCGTCTGTTTGGAACAACATATGTTGTTAGGCATCGTGCCCATTTTTCCGTACTCATTCTGGGCGTCCAAAACAATCGTTCTGTCACCAGACATCCAGCGATTTGAACCTCTCCTCCTCCTCCGCAGACGTCCTTCCTGCCGATTTCGGCCTCCAGAGGCCCCCTCACCAGGCCACGGGCTCGTAAAAGAGCTACTCCTGATGAAAAGCTGGCCTTGGGGAAAGGGTTGGGATTTTTTGCGTGGCCACCGTTTTGGACAAATGGGTCCCTTGCGCAGCAGCACAGGGAGGGCAGTGGGGATAACTTGGTATCCCTCGGACGTGTGCACTCTTTCTCGGCGGGGATTATTAAGGAGCATCCTGGGTCATCCTGCGAAAAATCATGCACGAAACCGACAAAAAAAATCACAGGGAATGGACGTCCCAGCGACGGGGAGACAATTCAGGCCTCGCAGATGGGCTTGGGATCGCCTGAGCCAGCAGACCGCACCCCACCCCCGACGCATCGGCGATGCCGACGCCGCGCGATCTGGAGGCCGTGGGCGAAACACAGATCCGTACCCGCGGCCTCGCGGGCCGAGCCCCTGCCCCTGCTTCTGTTCTTGCTCCTCCTCCTCCAGCTCCCCGTCCTCTGCGGCACACAGCGCGCCTCCATGCTGCGCGAATTATGATCATTACATATTAATAGCATTAGTCTTAGTCTTACATTTATGTATATCATCATTAATAGTTGTATCACCATCCGTATGATTGGTCTTAAGGTTACGAGTAGGACGATCTGAATTGTTAATATCATGGCCATTAGTAGAAGTATAAATCTTATGATTATGTGGTATTGTTATCTGGTGTTCTATTATTCGCAGTAGTAACATTTCATTCGACTCGGTATTGCTAGTAGTTCTACCACTATTACTACTACTCCTCCTCCTTTTCCTCCTCCTCCTCCACTTCCTCCTCCTGGGCCGCGACCCCGCGGATAGGGGGCATTGTTTCGCGGATGCCCGGCGCGGAATTTATGCGTGCGACCGTGTGTATCCGCGGGATCGCGTCCTGGAATCCAGACCGCGAGGACGTGGATATGGATACGCCCGCCGCTCGTGAGGAGCCCGATGTTCGTTCCGCCGTCACCGATCCAGCGTCGATGCTGCGGCGATGCCGCACGGGCCCACGTCCCACGCAGGGCTGCAGGAGGGGGAGGGGAGGCGTGGTCGCTGGCCATCCGCCCACGGAAGTGGTGCGCCCGCAGCGGGGGCAAGACACCTTTCTCTGGATTTCAGCACCGCGATTCAACGTGACTGTTGCGCCTTCGCAATCCGACATCGTGCCAACACAACATATTCTGGGACGTTAACCACGAGAACCCATGAAACGGCTGAAAAGTCGTAAGACGAATGCGCGCGGCGCTAAGGCGAGAACCACGTGTTGAAGTGGGCCCGCCCATCATCCGTGAAGTTCTTGCATTGAAGATAAGATATGCACGGCGCTAAGGCGAGAGCCACACTTTGAAACCCACCCGCCTTCCGATCGTGAACTTCTGGCAGCATTTTGAAGCGAATGCACGCGGCGATAAGGCGAGAGCCACATGTTGAAAGTCACCCGCCCTCCATCCGTGAAGCTGTTGCAGAGTGTAAGCGTCAGGATTGCAGATGGAGAGGAAGTCTCATGCGAAACGCCTGGCCCGATTGTCCTCGGGCTGCGACAGGGAGAAATTACTAGTGAGGACGAGGGATGGAGGAGGAGGGAGATAATGAGGAGGAGGAGGAGGGAAAGGAGGAGGAGGAGGAGTTGGAGGAAAAGGAGGAGGTGGGGGGGAGGGTGGGAGGGGGGGGGCGGAGGAGGGGGGGAGAAGGAGGGGAGAGGGGGGAGATGAAGGAGGAGGCGGAGGACGAGGAGGAGGAGGGGAGGTGGGTCAGAGGGACGAGGAGGAGGGGGAGAAGGAGGAGGAGAAGGAGGCGGAGGCAAGGAGGAGGAGGTCGGAGGAGGAGGCGGAGGAGGAGGAGGAGGAGGAGTTTGAAGGGAGGACGGGGAGGAGGAGAGGGGGGAGGAGGAGAAGGAGAGGAGAGGAGGCGGATGATGCGGAGGATGAGGCAGAGGAGGAGGCGGCGGAGTATGAGGAGGAAAAGAAGGAGGAGAGGGAGGAGGAGGAACAGGAGGACGAAAAGGAGGACGAGGCGGAGTTTGGAGGAGACGGACGAGGAGAAGGAGGAGGAGGAGGAGGAGACTACGACTACTACTACCTACTACCTACTACCTACTACTACGACTACGATTGTTATTGTTACTCCTACTACCATGGCCATCACTACTACTACTACTACTACTACTACTACTACAACTACTACTACTACTACCACTACTACTACTACTACTACTACTACTACTACTACTACTACTACTACTACTACTACTACTACTACTACTACTACTACTACTACTACCCTACTACTACTACTACTACTACTACTACTACTACTACTACTACTACTACTACTACTACTACTACTACTACTACTACTACGACTACTACTACTACTACTGCTGCTACTACTACTACTACTACTACTACTAGCTACTACTACTACTACTACTACTACTACTACTACTACTACTACTACTACTACGTACTACTACTACTACTACTACTACTACTACTACTACTACTACTACTACTACGACTACTACTACTACTACTACTACTA